GCTTCGGCAGGGGGGTTGGACTAGATGACCCACAGAGGTCCCTTCCAACCCCTACTATTCTGTGATTCTGTGATTCTGTGATTCTGTGATTGAATCTGGTTCTCTTTGCTGTAAAGCCCCTCGCTCAGAGTCGCTCCCCGAGTCCAGCAGTTACTGCTACAGAAATCCCTTGGCATGATGTTGACTTGGGGGACAGCAAATGCTAAATATCTCCAGCGACGTGAAAGGGAAGCTCGCACCTTGTAACACTGCACATCCGAGGGCTCGGCAGTAGGAGTGACCGTAATCCTCTAGTTTCGATCTGAAAATTTGAGACTTGGAAACAGGTGTCTGTGGAATGGTATGAATTCTGTGAAGTTAAATTTGTGTTCTGTTTTTAAACTGTTTTCATGTTGCTTAAAAACCAAGGCTAACAACTGATCTTTCATTAGTGAGTAAATCATTACATTCACTCAGAAAAAAGTGGGAATATTCGTATTTTTAACCTACCTATAGATAATACATGCACTGTTCCTGCATGTGTCGCAATTAGCCGTGTCTTGACCAGTCCGATATGAAAGCCTACAAAGACAAGAACACGAGGTCATTAAAAAGTAATTTGTTTTAACACGTTTTTGCCTTCTATGATGCTCTTAATAGAAATCAGAACTTCAGGAATACTTTTTTTTAAATTGAATATTGAATACAGAAATCTAGCCATTAGGAAAACAGGATCAAAAATAGCATATCCAGCTTCACTGAACAACGGGAAGATGAAATTATTTTGCAAAATGAGTCTTTAATGACTGCAAGGAGATAAGATTTATTTCCATTATGCTTTTCTAAAAAACAAAGAAACCACGTTACGTGAGCCTCTCTTTACGTACAGCTGCTGTGTACCGGAGTGATGAACCATCACTGCACACGGACACGCTTCCACTTCCCACAGACGGGACGGTGCTGGTGGCCTGGGGTCCTTCTGCCCTCTCAAACGCACGAGGCTTTTCCTAGCTGTTGCTGGATGTATAGAACATAATACTGGAAAACAGCATCTATTTAGAAATGCTCTCCCCCAGCAATGAGGTCTGGAGATCTGTTGTAATGGTGTTTGCGTCTTAAAAGGAAGGAAATGTAATTTAAATAACACTTCCCGTACTCACCAGCTGTGCTTTGTCACGCTTTGGTTTGAAGTCTGTTATAGCAGTGACTCTTAATTCACCTAGGTCTTGTCTCTGACTTGGCCAGTTTGAATTTTAACAGGTGTTTTTTTTTTTTAAGCAGGGTTGGACTAGATGACCCACAGAGGTCCCTTCCAACCCCTACCATTCTGTGATTCTGTGAAGTACTTTTTTCTATATAGAAATTTTATTTAAATATATTAAATTAAAAAGAACACAGTTGCCTACCTATCAACACAAATGTTCATGCATGCAAATAAGTTTAAAATTAAAATTCCTAAGTCAATATTTAGGTAGTTACTTTTTTTTGTAAAACCACAAAGTTAGGATCTTTTGAAGTTATTTTTAGTTTGTGTAGAATCCAGACGAGTACGTGCAGTTTCTTCATAGTTGTTCTTAAAAGAAATAGGGAAATACCTCACTAGTGGAATTTTGAAGATGTGGAAAATCGATCCGGGCGGGATTACCGAAGGGCATGCTGCTGAAGCCGGGTGCCACCCTGGAGCCTGGGCCCCTCCTCGCCCAGGCAGCTCCCCTGACGGACCTCAGCTAACTGGGTGCTGGCGTGGCTGAGCAGGAGCAGCCCTGCCCTCCCTGCCCTCCGCTGCCCTTGCTGGGGGGGCAGGCTGCCTTCTGCTCTGCCCCCCTGACAAAGGAACAGTAATGAAAAATCCAGCATCTGCAGAAAAGTTGACTTAATTTTTATGTGACAAAATATCAGACCTGTATAATAGGAAGTGTTAACGGGAAGGTCCCTAAGATGGGAAACCAGCACTTCCTAAATGCTGCAGGCGATTTATTTATCCTAGTGAACGTACTGGTTTCTTTGAAAGCCATCATCTGGTCCTGTGTCACTTCTCCTTATTATTTTAAAGGTTTGAACATGGTTTAAAAGTTGATGGCATCGCTTATGTGTTTTATAGATGACATCACTTATGCGTTTTATATAGACTTTTAAGGAAGAAGAAATTCATCAGCATGAACTTGACGGCAGAGAGTGAACCCATAGTAGCCCAAGCTTGTCTTCACAGGTGACGTTTCTGCTTCCACCCCAGTTCCTGGGATTGTCCGTGGGTCGGGGTGGGGTGACCGCGGGGCGCTCTGGCCTGTGAGCGCGGCTCCTTGGCACACTGGTAGCACAGACAGCAGTTCATAACGGGCTGAATCTTCTGCTTTTATAATAAAAGCTGTTTTTCCCTCCTGAAGCAAAATGCAAGGGGGAGTTCTTGCTGATCTAGTCGCTTTGCTTTATTGGGAGAGGGCTGGAACGCTCTGGGTTTAACATCTCGAGTAATAATTCAGCATCAGAAATACTTTTTCTTCAGAGGAACATACTCAAATTAACTAGATTGTTGTTGTGTTAAAATTTGGCAAAGTCAGATGTGAAAGAACTTCTACAAAGCAAGATTTCTATATTATGTACTGTTCCTTAGAGGGGGAAAAACCAGTACTGTTTTATATTTGATTATACCTGCTTTGCCTGCTCTCGAAGAGGGGTGAAGTAGTGTTTTTCACTTCCCCTTGTGAAATTTTTTGGAAGCTGACATTCAAATTGTCACCACACTATTAAACGTGGACTTGTAAAATGTTTTTTCCAAGCTATTGATCAAATACTAAAAACTCTTCCTGAAGATACAACATTTCAGGTTTACTGCTGGGCTGCTGACTGCCTTTATGTCCTGAGGACAAAGAGGGCAGTTAATAATTGCCTGCAGAGGAACGTGGCGCGGTTGTCTGAGTGCCTCCGTAGAGGTAAAGGCATAAACACACTGCCTTGGGTGCCAAGTTGGTGTTTGGGGTTGTTCTCCTCATTAGTTTCCAGTTGGGACGTTTTCATTCATCTTTGTACGCCTGCAAGCTGCCATTGCAGTCGGTTAATTATCTGGCTCGGACGCTTGAAGCACCTTCTCCCAGCCTCTCCTCTTCCTGCGCAGCGCTGCAGGGTTGATGCTGTGCACGTTTGGCCCGCCTCTCTGCTCTGCTGTTTCAGAAATAATTTAATTAGAAGGGTTTTTCCATAGGTTTCTCAAAGTCCAGTGTTTGCAGAAGCAGGATGTAGGTCACTTACCCTGCTAATTCCTGTCCCCGCTAGCCTGGACTGCTGTGAGAGGAGCCCTGTGACATCTCGTTTGTAGAGTTCCTTGGGAAAAGGGTTGGTCGTATTTTAGGGACATGCCTGGTGCTCCGAGGGATTTGCTCTAGAAGAGCACGGTTTCTGGCAGCAGTTGTAAAAGCGAGGTTGTCAGGTCATCTGTTTACAGCAAATCTTGACAAGGCTTTATTTGTATTTATTTCTTCCCCTAGCCCGGGGTGTTTGAGAATTGTGGCTTTCACTGTGGGATTGGGAAAAGGTGAGAATTTTTTGTCGGAAAGAGAAGGGGGGATGAGGAGTATTCCTGTGTGTGCTGAAAAGCGTGAGTGGAGAAGAGGAATAAAACAGAGCCCCCAGGGCAAAACTGTAGCGGTGGCGTATCCCAGCGATAGCCCACTCGATCTGGCGCAGAACTTAGAAACACTTCAGCAAGAAGTCATATGGGAATAAACACCCAAATAAACATATTGCTGTATTGGAACTCATACAGGTGTGTCTCTGCATCCTTACCTTCCCTGTATGCTCACACCCGTACAACAGAAGCGTGTACCTGGTCACTGTCTTAATCACCACGCTGGCTTTACCACCCAGTTTCCACCAGCACCAGGCCCATCTTAACAAAATAACATGTTAGTTGGGAGAAACTCATCCAGTGCTGGTAGGCTGGTTACTCACTTAGCAAAAGTTATACTCTGTTTGGTCTCAATGTGGTTCGCGGAATCACAGAATCATTAAGGTTGGAAAAGACCTCCCAAGATCGTCCAGTCCAGCCGTCACCCCAACACCACCATGCTTGCTAACCCGCGTCCCAAAACGCCTTTGAACCCCTCCAGGGATGGTGACTCCACCACTGCCCTAGAAGCCTGGTCCAATGCCTGACCACTCTTTCAGTGAAGAAATTTCTCCGAATATCCAATCTAAACCTCCCCTGATGCAACTTGAGGCCATTGCCTCTTGTCTTACTGCCTGTTCCTTGAGAGAAGAGACTGACCCCCACCTCACTACAACCTCCTTTCAGGTAGAAAGGGATGAGGTCTCCCCTCAGCCTCCTCTTCTCTGTAACTTGCAGTGGTTTTGATATCATATTAAAAATAAGTTATCAAACAAACTTAGGTTAACAAACCATCTTCCTAAAAATTGAATTTTCAGTATTTTACTTAAATTTTTCTAACACGTAAGATGATCTTTAAATGCACAATAATTCCAGCCTTTCAGATACTTAAAAACATATTTCCTGGCTGATGGTATAAGGCAGAATCATTAAGCTGGTGAAAATGGTCCTTTGATATAAGTGTTTAAAAATTATGTGATTTTTGGATGATTGGTTTGAAATCCTGTTTCCTCAGCTGACACATTCAACACTGCTTTCTTTTAGCATCATTGTCATTCACAAACTCTGCTGTTAACAGCAATACATTTTTCTTTCCCCCCCTAGTCAGATGTAATTCATGATGAACTTTTCTTAAAGCATCATTTTCCTTATTCAGTATTTTTAGCTTCTCAGAGATGATTTTGCTTTCTAACTACAGATCTAGTGATGTTGCCTTCTCTGAACCGTCCTATTAGTTGGGCTGCTTTGTAAGCCCCGAGAACACAACGTGGTGTCACGGTGTTTGGTTTCTGTTAGGCAGTTTGATAGCTCTTTCACTGGGACTGTGTTGTGTGAGTGTTAGTGCAGTATGAGTTCAATCATTTCTATATAAATTAAACTCTTCAGGAAAGAATTCTGTTGTTGATACCGCAGGGCTTTGGACCTTCCCTTGCTTGTTTTCACATAATTATGCACATAAACACTTGCATGGAATTCATCTACTCCACGCCAGCAAAGATTTTAGTATTGGCACGATGTTTCCATGCCAATCCGAGGCAGTGAGGTTGATCTGCAGTGCAGAATTACTGAAAATCTGGGCTTCCCATCAGCATTAACTGTGAGAAACAGTTTGTGAGCACAGGCTGGGTACCGGGCTCGGGAGAGCAGAGTTCTGGGCACCTGCCTGTGAGATAGAGTGTTTTGGATAAGCTACTTTTTTCCTTCTCTTAAAAATAACTTGAAGAGTATTCCAGTGTAGAAGAGCTCAGGCTAGAGACCAGTAACTTCTTTCTTCATTGGTAAACTGGTTGATGTTTTTCTGTAAGAGTAAATCCTGTAAAATGTGAAGTTTTTCACAAAACAAAGATTCCTGCAGAAAATTTGTTTTCTTTTTAGAGAAATGAAAGTTGGCTTTGGTCTGTTTTAGATCCAAAGTGGAGTATTCAGTTTGTACGGACTGAAACGCCTGGCAGCCCGGAGCTCCCCCCAAGCTACGACTCCC